ACAATGGGCTATCAAATGCCGTACTTTTAAATTAGATAAACTTTCCCACCCAAGTCCAAGGCAGAGAGAGGTGGACAACTTTAGGTTTCCCTACTGTGGCTTGCTTCAGAGAACTCAGGATTTGTCTGAAATCAAAGAAATGCAGACAGAAAGAAATTTACCCATAAGATGAGTCATCCTTCTTCCCTGGAATGGAGTGAGTGGGGGAGCTTGCCTTTCTCTCTTGGACAGTGGAATGGAAATTCTCTACACTCCATGGAAATGTGAAAAATAAGGAATAAATATTACCCCTAACAACAGGCAGGCTAGCAGTGCTTGGTAGTCTATCTTTTTTGAAGTCAGCTCTTTGAAGCTTAGCAAAGACTGCTGCAGGCAAAATTTCAGTATAAGCTTCATTCTTGCTCTTAAGGATGCTTTCCCTTCCTCTACTTCTGAACCTCCAGCCACCATTTTTTCAGTGGCTTCCTTGATATATCTTCAGAGACTAGAAGGTAAGGAAAAAGGAGAAAGGAGCAGGAATTACATGTGCAGATCTTCTCAAAAGCATGTATTTATGAGTAAAGACTACCTTCTCCACTTATTCATGAGGTGTATTAAGTTATGGTACACAATTTCAAGTGCCTCGGGAGCTGACTTAAATTTCTTTTTCTAGGTAAAGTTAAGCTTGGTTCAAGTACTTGCTTTCTGATATTTAGAAGTCCTCAATGATTATTCATATTGGCCTCATCCCAAAAAGACAATAAAAATACAAATACACATCCACACTTAATGTCATTATTTCCTTCTCAGAGTGATGCGTAATGATTACTGTGTGTCCACAAATACTTTTATTCATGATTTTAATTAGCATGGATAAGTTAGTCCAGAAATTACAGTTAGTAGCACATATTTGTTTTTTTATTCAAATGTTTATTTTTATTTTGAGGTAATTGTAGATTCACATATGGTTGTGAGAAATAATATAGAGAGATTCCCTTATGCCCTTTACCCAATTTCCTCCAATAGTAACATCTTGCAACACTATACTACAATATCACAACCAAGATATTGACATTGTTATAGTCATAATATAGCTATAGAACATTTCCATTATTACCAGGGTCCCTTATATTGCCCTTCTATAGCCATAAATAATCCCCTCCCCCTCAGCCTCCTTTACTTAACCCCTGGAAACTACTAACCTATTTTTCATTTCTGTAACTTTGTCATGTCAAGAATGTTATATAAATGTAATCACATGGTACATAATCTTCTGGGATTGGCTTTTTCATTCAGCATAATGCTCCGGAATTCATCTATGTTGTTGCATGAATCCATAGTTTGTTCCCTTTTGTTGCTGAGTAGTATTTTATGGTATGGATATACCATGGTTTGTTTAACCATTCACCCACTGAAAAGCTCTGGGCTGTTTTTGGCTATTACAAATAAAGCTGTTATAAACATCATGTGCGATTTTTGTATATGAACAAAGTGTGTGAAAACATGTTTGTAGTAATGTGTAATTCTTTGCCTAATTTTCTGGCTGTCTCACTACAGAGCAAAATATGTCAACACATTTGCCAAAGGTCACAGATTACCTCTTGTAACTGAGGATTAACTAAGGATTCTTATCAATACTTGCAGCTTTACAACTACTTTGCTTCTTGACCTTGAGTAGTCCTTGACTCTCTGAGCCTTAGCTAGACAAGATACATGTTTTTCAAAATGTATTATTTGAAACATGAACTCCATGAAATGCTCTAACAAGGGGTGGCAAGGTGGGGGGCAGGGGGAGAAAGAGTTTCATGGTCAAATAAGTTTGAGGAAATGCTGAACACTATATTCCTCATTTGAAATAAACAAATGTCCTTCGGTATACCAAAGGAGGAAGCCAGTATCCAACTGTCGAAGTTCAAATCCCAGCTCCATCACTTGCTGAAATAGTAAACCTTAGCCAGACACTTAACCATCCCATACCTCAGTTTCCTCATCTGTAAAATGGAGATAACAATAGTACCTCACTCATATGAATGCAAGATTAACTATAAGGACACAAGAAAATACTTGATATATGTTAGCTATTATTATTGCCATCAGAATCATCAAAATTGTTATGATCTTGTTAAAAATACACATGTCCAGGCCTCACCCCTGGAGATTTATATTCATTAAGTCTAGATAAGAGTCTGGTCCAGATGAAGAAGCAGAGGTTTATCTACACTAAGAGTATATTCAAGATAGTACTAGAGACTGAATTTAAACCCAGACCAAACTGGCTGATGGAGAAGTGTCACACTTATATCCATACACAAATTTAGTAAATCCTTTATATGACTAACTCTGCAGTCCTGCAAAAAGAGTACAGTTCACTTGTGAACTGAAGGGTGGGCTTATAATATAAACTCATGATTCCTGAAGGAATGCAGACAAAATAAAATGTAGTTCTGTAGAGTCGGTATACAGCTTTTAAGAAATTCCTAAATGTAGTAAGCATTCATATATGAAAACTTTATTTTTGAGTTATTGCTTAGCAAGTGATACCTGAAAATAAGACATTATTTCCTTACAAATACATGATTGTTATTATTTCTGTAGGTTTCACCGCTGCACTGATGATTTTCAAAGGACTTTTTATTGTTAAGCATTAAGCGAATTTCCAGGATACTTGGGGAATCACTCTAGAGGTGGCGGCAATCTTTTTACCACTTCTGCAGCAATCCTCAGGTAAGCTTTTGCCTGGAAAAGAACAGACTCATTTGTTTTATATTTCTCCTTTGTAGACATCAAATGACTCATGAACTATTTGCCATAGCTATCCATTTAATTTAACAATAAAAAGGCCGAGTGAGATGAGGAAATTCAATAGTGAGAAGATACTGCTGTGTATATTGCAGATGGGGCAGGGGCGAGAGGATTTTAGATTATTTGGAGGTTAACTATTTGGAAGGTGACTTTCTGAAAAAATATTTAGTGCCAGCAATTAATGTTTTTCAAACTGATTCCTGTGTCAGCAAACTAGTAACCCAGGCTAGTCATAGAAAAATTAACCCTTCTTCTTCTGACAAATTGACATCCTGAGTTAGATATTGCCATGAGAGTTGTTAGTCATCTTAAGGAGGACTATTTATTACCACCCTATAGTTTTACCCTCTGGAAAGTATTTTCTTCATCCTCTCTGAGACTAGAGTACAATACCAGCACTGAGCATGACAGGCTCCTTCATCTGGTGAATTCTGAGTACATGTAAGACTTTATGGGATCAGTTGTTACACTCTTCATATCTGGGGCCCCCTGTGTGGCAGAACATGAAGAGAGCTCCCAAGCCACCACATGGGCCACAAACTAACCCAATGCCCACAGCATCCACTTAGAACAACAATCATGACATCTGTATTTTAAGAATTTTAAACAATTGCAATGAAAATATTATTTATTTCCCTACCGTATCTATAAAAAGCAACTGTAAGACATAATAGCAAGATTTTTTAAAGTCAATAATTTCTATATTTAGATACTTTTTATGTATATGAGACACATATACTACTTCTGCTGGTAACAGCTCCAATTTACATGAGTCCTTGCCAAGTACTATTTCATGTATTCTCACAGCTACCCGAGGAGTAAATCCTGTCATTATCTCCACTTTTTGGACAAGGAAACCAACACCCAGGAAGGTGAGGCATCTTGTCAACAGCATCACAGCTAGTATGAGATGAGTGGCCTTGAAGCTGGGCTGACCAACTCTCCTACTCTGCACAGTAGAAGAACTGTGTGTGTTCTGTTTATCCTGACTTGATGAAGGGCTTCAAGTGTGTTTCACATATCTTCATTTTTAAAAATTATGCTTGAGCCCTAACCGCTGAATTATGCTTTATTTTACCATAAAAGTGTTAAATTTCTTTTAAGAGTCCATTTTTTAAAAAGAATAGCTCTCAAAACATGAATAAGGCCTTAAATTTTTTTTATTGAGTACCTAGCACACCAAGAACTGTGTACCAGTAACCTCACTTAGGTAAAAGAAACCTCATCGGCTCAACCTGGATGAAGAAACTGGGAGTTGCTTGCTCAAGGTCACAAAGTTAGTAGCCTCACTTTCAAACCTGGGCCCACCAGACTCTGAAGCCCAGCCACATCACATTAAACAGTAAACTTAATGTGCAAGTAATTCTAATCATAATGCTTTATCTAAAAATGGTTTCACTCTCTGCTATAGTTAACAGAAACAATTGTTTTTGTTTAAAAATATAAATAACATATTTTATAAAGAAACGGTTCTCTTAAGTCTAATGTGCTAATTTTCACCAATGCATGTTTATAAATACCTTTTATCTCCTAGTAGCTTCTAAGGTATTTAAGCATAATATTTTAGGATGAAAATTTAAAGTTCACTAAGGCAAGCTGAGACAAGGCCATCATTCTATAATCTTTTAGCTCTTACTTATGTTAAACTAGAGACATAAACCTATCAAGCTACACAAAATACTGAATGATTCAAGAATAATCAGATTTAACCTTTGCTTTTTAATGGACTATCTCCAAGCTTAAACTTTCAATATATCACACCCAAAATAATGGTTAGATTGTCATTTGCTGAGAAACCACTAAAAGTGCTTAGTGTAACAGTTTCAATTTCTGCAAAACTGTTGAGATTGAATTTTTTCAGCCAATGGAATATCACTTCAACAAACACTTTTTTGGTTTTTACTGTGTACAAGACATTGTTTTGGGAAATCTGTGGGATGTAGTGATAAAAAAGGAAGCAGAATAGCTCACTAGTGAAGAGTTAGGGCTTTGAAGCCAGACAGGAATGGCTTAAAATCTTAGCTCCATTATTTATTAGCTATTAGGCCTTGGGAAAGTTACTTAACCCTTATAGGCTCAGTTTCCACATCTGTAAAATGGTTAAAATAATAGTATTTACCTCAGAGAGTTACAGGGCATATTAAGTAAGAATACATTATGTGAAGTACTGGCACAGAAGAAGCAAATAAATATTAGGGACTGTTATTATTATTGTTCTGTCCTTAAGTAATTTACAATCTCATTGAAGAGCTCACATAAACATGCACTTTTGGGCACTTTGCCCATCTGAGGAGTAAGAAATTAAATCCCTCCTTTTTAATTTGTAACTAGCAAAAAAGCAACACACACACATCATATGTAAAAATATGATTTAGACTCCTCAAACTATTAGTACTTCCTTCTTTCATCAACTCAGCTCTACACAGACTAACCCTTCTCTTGTAGTCAGGATCTTACATCAGGCCATTAGAGGCACAGATAACATTTGTGGATCTTATTTGTCTGCTCCATCATTAACAAGTAAAAGGTAATGGATGGCAACCACAGTACAAGAAGTTTTATGGACAGCTTTTTTCCTTTATCTTTGTTTTTAAAGACTTCTAATTTATTATACACATTTATTTCATATTAAGATTAAAAAGGTAATAACTTAGAAATTATAGGATAATAAAGTTTCCACTTATATTTGAAAGTCTTTACCAGGAATATCCTAGAGGCAATAGAAAGAGTTCTACTTGATAAAAAAGGATGAAATCATAAAATTATCAGTCAATCATGAGTCTATTACTTGTGTCCCAGACTCAATCAAAGGCAAAAGGTAGGAATACTTGAATTAACAATTATAATCACACAAACAAGAGACAGTGCTATACAATCTAAGAATTCTGAATCCTCAGTGTCCACATTCACTCCCTTCCTCTACTGCTTTCTCTGGCTATGACGCTATTTATAATTGTAGTTCCCATTACTCCCTTTTCCTCAGTGGTGCACATGCACAGAAGGTTTTGCTCAGTCATTGAGTTGGTGGCAGCCTGTTGGTACTTTTTAGCTGATACTGTAACCAACTTTTCCAATGATGCCTCAAATTCAGCACAATCCATACTTTTAAGTTAATTCTTTTTAGTGTTTGCCTCTTCTGAAAGTTAAGTGTTGCTGGGAGAGTTAAATGCAAAATGCCCAATTTAAAAAGATTTTATGGGCAGAAAATGAGAGCCCTAGAATGTGGTGTTGCAAGGAAGGAGTGATGGAAGATGGCAAAGAGAAGGTAGAATTTGGAAGAAGACAAAAAGCTATAAGTGAAATTTTAGTGATGAATAATTTTGTCTGTAGGTCAAAAGCAAACAATAAAAAGTGCCAATATAAGGGGCAAATAATTAGCAAATAATTTATTGCTTCTGTCCCATTAAATTTTGCAGAAGTTTATCATATTGGCAAGTTAACAGTTCCTTAAAATTCTTTAAATGAAGCCATGCAAGCTGAATGGGCATTAAGCCTCTATGAATACAAAAGAATCTGCTGAGATAGCTGGGACTAGCTTCTGAGAGAATATTTCCACTTAAGTCCATAGGGCAAAACGGAAGGTATTATCAGGAGGTAAGATTCATCATAAGAATAACCAGAAGGATCTTAATTCCAGAACTCGGTAACAGCTTCCTCATGTCTAGGACTTAACATTTTAATGCTGAAGCTGAGAGCTCTATTCTATCTCATGATTCAAATTCTACTACTCTGATTTCAAATGCCACCAAGAGTGACATTTACTTGATGCTATGTGAGGGGAAGGGCATAAAGAGACTCAACTCTTTGACAAAGGGAAGAGGAAAGACATTTAGTGTCATGACATATAAGAAATTTCAGAAGACAAAAAATACTCATACTTGTATTCTATTTGGCATTTTTCAAAGTATTTTCACAATACCATCTCATTTAACACTCCTCATTATGACATCAATTTACAGATAGAAATATTCATAGACATTAGGGAATTTCCCTAAGGTTAAACCTAGAAAGTAGAAGTCTTGGTAATAAAATCCTAAACAGATAGAGATTTATATTTTTTCCTTCCATGCAGAGACCCCTTTGAAAATCTAATAAAGCTCTCATCCAATTACCCAGAAAAATGTACATAGATATATTTTGGATATAAGTCCTGGGGATTCTCTGGCCCCGTTAAGGTCCTTTGTACTAGGCCCTTCAGTTGTGCATGCCAATGGGACCTGAGGAGCAGAGTTTGCTCACTCTCTTCTGTATGTCTGTGATATGGGAAGGAGGTGGACCAAAAGCTAGCCTAAATATACACAATGCACAGACACTGAACTTCTCTTGCCATTGATTGGGAAGGGAAGCAGATACTGACTGCACTGGGAAGAACTGTATATGTATATGTATGTATAGACTGTGGTGTCAGAGTGTGGTGTGGAAATGGCCTCTGGTACTATGTGGACAAGCTCCTTACTAACAACAAACCTCTGCTTCTTCATCTTAAAAATGGAGATGATTATACATATTTTCCAAATGTGCTACGAGAACCAAATAAGATAATGTATTTAATGCACTTAAGTACTGTACTCTTCTCTTAAAAGGAATTAAAGAAATAGTAGCTATTAGTGTAGGACACAGAAGGTGATATAATAGAAAGAGGCCCACATTTGGAAGGGAAGACTTGTCTCTTAATCAAAACTTACATTTATTAGTTCTGTAACCTTGGGAAAATTATTTAACTTTCTTGAGCCTCAGTTTCCTCATCTGCAAAACAGGGACTATTTATATGTATTGTGTTAAGTTGTGAGCATAACAATTATGTAAATAAAATGCTTAACAGTGTTTGGTACACTGTAATTGCTGTTATTATTAGGAAGACTATTTATAATAATTAATGTCTGAAGTCTAAGAGTAGGAAGTAATAACTTCCATGGAAACAGAATAAATACAAGGCACTAGTTTTTTCCTTTTTATGACCATGTCCAAATCTTAAAACTACTCAAAAGTCTTCATATTTAATGTTGACAATGTGGTACATGAAATTCTCACTATTTTTGCAGAGACCTCATCAAATCAAATCTAGCATAAACCACAAAGTGACAGACTTTTCACATTCTTATGAATGTTACCAGCAACTGTAAAATAATAGGTCTAATGTTTTTGTGAATGAAGTTTTAAAAAGCATGTCAAACACTGTTGTTTAGAGTTTTAAATCATAGTATCTTGATGGTTGCTATCTGTTCTCTGATCTATTATATTCCTTTAACTCCCTTGAAATGTCCCTTCACTTTTGGAGAATCTCAAAGAAAAAAGCAATTAACAGACAGAAGGAAAAAACATTTAAAAATCTAAACTCACATAACTGAAATAAACTAGTAAGTAATGATTCTTATTCATAAGGAATCACCACACAATGTCTTTAATCTGTTCACAGGAGGCATTTAAAAGTATGTAATTTAAAAACCTCAACTTTCATTCACTGAAAAAAGTAAAGTACACGGATGGTAGCTGGGACTGTCAGACTTTAATTATGAGAGTAATAAAGTTATGGTTTTTGCTTTTCTGAAAGACTTCTAAGAAAAGACTGAAAAGGAAAATTTAACATTTAATACCTAAAAGGCAGAGAAGAGAAAAACAATGATAAATGCTACGCTACATTTACTCTGAGATTATATTCCCAGCAGCTCAATCACCTGTAGCGTAACTGCTGACTGTTAAAGAGAAAGGGCCTTTGGGCCCCTGAAAGAGAGAACTCAGAATCAGTCTACTTTACTAATCCAAGGTTCCTGACTGTCCATTTACTCTTACTTTAGCCACAGCTCTCACCAAGCTTGGCTCCTTTATTTTCCAGTTTGCAAAAAATGAGAGGAAATAAAGCAGGATGAAAGGGGCAGTAATTATGGATGGACAGAATAGCAGTACTATAAAGTTATACCCATTAACTAAGGCAAAAAGAAAGGCCAACTATCAGAAGATTCATTGGGGCTGTTCAGCAACTGCAGAAACTACATCAAATCTGGTGTGCCAGAAGATGGCTCCGTCTCTAACTTAAATAGCAAGTGCTTCTTAGGCGAAAAAAGACACAGGTGATTGATTTTATTTCTACTTTTTAAAAAGCATAAAATAAAGATTTAATGTTTAAAGTTATAAAGCTTCAGCAATCTTGAAAATCTACCAAGTATCCCCAAGTGATGTCAGCTAATGAAACACTATTAGTTTCTCTATCTCCCCTCCCCAGTCATATTTGTTAAAATAAATGCAATGAAAATCCCATCTCCAAAGGGTTACAGAATTTCCCTATACCTAACTCAATACTTTCTTAACATTAAGTTCCCTTCCCCCAACAATCAGCTGGACTTTTAATACCAAAATATAATAACCTTGGGCAGTTAGATATTGCTAGCCAGCAAGATAAGATCTCTATACACTCTCATTGTTCATATTCTTTGTGAGAAAAGTGGCTGAGTGATGATTCTTTGTAGGTGAACTTGTTCAGTTGATAATTCACAGGCAGCACTGGTATGCCTACCATATAAAACAGTCACTTATAGATGCTAGGATAAGTTAAATACCCTTTTGTTTTAGATATGTATTATAAATAGATAAACTTGATCTTCCCAACTTTCTTTCTATATATCAAAGAGTACATATCCTGTAAAAATAAATTAGAATACATATTTAAAAAAATAACTTACCTCATCACTTCCAGGCTGTGAAAACACAATCGGCTGGCCTTTATCTGAAGCTTCCCTTATATTAAGGTGTAAGGGAATGTCTCCTAAAAGAGCCCACCAGATATCCATTAGTGCTACAAAGGTTTTGGGCATTTGGAATTTCACTATCTGAACTTCAGAAATAAATAAAAAATCTAAACTAAATCAATTCAGGCCAACCTGAATCATGACTATCTTCATGTTGTTAAGTTTCTGAGAAAAGAAATTTCAAATGAAAATATCCCATTCGAGGGCAGTACAGATTGCACCTGTCTATATGAAAACTATGTGGCAGCCAATCAAGGGACAGGACCTCTGATTTATTCTTTGCTAAAGGTCTTCCAACAAAAAGTAGCTTGGAAGACAGTTTTAAATTATTTCTTCCTGTAATATCTGATATAGACACATCATACCACATAATAAGAGGAAATGATAGGGAGGCAAAGCATTAAAAAAATAAAAGTACAACAAAATAATCTTCCTGATGTTGGCAGAGGAGTAAGCTAAAAGAACTGTTGAAAAGTATGCCAGACCTGTTATCCTTACTATTTGCCTCTTTATCAGATAGAATTATCGTTCTTTTATTATTAACCTATATAGCCTTATATATAACTTGCATGCTTGATGAAGTCTCAGGAGGTATGTAAGAACCTCCAATATACAGACTTGAGGTTAGAGAGATTGTGTCTTTCCTGGGGAAATTAGGTAGAATTTAGGGGGAAAATGCTCTGACCCCTGATCCAGCTGACTCTTTCTAACACACCATCACAAGTGAAGCCTTTCTAAAGGCTGAGATTTAAAATGCAGTAAATGGAGTCTTAAGTAGAAGAGCTGACTTGTCATGGTACTCAGCATTCTTGGAACAACTCCAGATTCACACAGAGTTTATTGAAATTTATTGAAATGTGTTTATGTGTGTATTTTATATAAGTAAGTCTTTCAGCACCATGCCAAGAATGTAACTAAAGCAGAAGAAATGTTAAAAAGTTACAAAACTATTATAATTTATATTATGAACTACATGGAGGAACAGAATTTTTCATGTTCTTCTTGTTGGCAGATTTTGAGATCTTAACCAACTCTTTCTTTAAGTCTTTCCTAAATGTTCAATAGCCAAGTGACAAAATACATAAATATTTCAGTAGCCATTTAAAGATTAGTTTTACAGTAAATTTAATGTCTATTGTTTATAGATCAACTTGAGGCTATACGAAACTGTCACAGGGGCAGGCAGAGGAAAATATGTTACAGTAAACTTTTAGAAACCAATTAGAGTTTTTCTCTTGATTTATGAGGTGCCATTATAATGAGGAATTCTTAATGCTTTAATTTCTATTGCAGTAATGGAAGGGGGAAAAAGGTTAAACCTTCTCTTTTATATATGCCACCTATTGACATTTCTGCCCTCCAGAGCTTTACAGTCCTACCTAAAAGCACAGAAGAGTAGACCAAGAAAGAGGAAAACCTTGTTAGAAAATAGGTGGCATAGTGAGAGTAGTAATGGGCTAACAGTTGTATACACAAAAGGATAAAAAGAAGTAAGGGTATGGAGACTATGTGAGGTGCAGCCTGGCCTTAGAAAGTATCTCTGAGGGGCTAGGTCTGAAGGGAGTGAGTGCACATTTCAGAGACATAGTTAAGGAGGTCTCTGAAATGACCAGAGACCTTAACTACTATGCATTAACAGACCTATGGGTAAATATGGATAAAGCTCTGAAGAGCCATTTTACCAAATAATCATTTAAAACATTCTGATGGAAGAAAATTAATTAAAAGGCAGCAAGGGAGTTAATGAAGGACAAATAAGGGTTCCTGGGTAGGAACAAGGGGGAGGGTGGTTCAACCAGCCAGGAGATCACAGCTGTGAGAGCTCTTTCCCTGATTTCATTTTCTCATTCCCAATTCAAATATTTTTTACTGGAGCCCCTGTTCCAGTTCATGGGAGATCTCTCTGGCCCCCCCAACTGCATTACAAGGAGATGTGCCCTGAGTTGTAACTCTAAATTATTTTATCTGTAACACTAATAGGTACAGCAGCCTATGGTACAACCTGGTTTTGTAATCAGTGTTTCTAAAACATTTCTGAGCCAACTATACATTTGTAAACTGTTTGTTAAAATGTTAATTTCCATATGAGAAATTGTTTCTCTAGGAGATATGTTTCATATTCTAAATAACTGACTTACAAAATTGTACCAATGATTTATAAAGTAGGGAATTACGATATTGTCAACATAATTCAACAACGCCACTATAATTACACATTTACTTTGTTATATAAGTGAAGTCAATCTGTTATGACATTATGCAGATTTGGGAAATTGAACTTTCTAGGTTAGTTAAATGGAAAGCAGTTCCAGAATATAATTAGTGGCTATAATTACAGCAATGTATCAAACTATATCATTAGTATTCACCTGGTATTGTGGTGGCTGCTACAGTGCAAATGCATAACAATCATACATTTAACATCAACTTTTAGAAACTCAATTGTAATAATGTTTTGAAATTCCTTGATCTCTAAGGGATCTTAATTGTTAACTACCTAAAAGTAACAATTCACTCTATGCCTCCCTTACTCAGCAACTAACATCTCCCTTTGTCCAGAACAGAAACTCATTCACAAATAGAATATCAAAATATTTTTCCTAAGAAGTCCATTAAGTTGCTTGTGGATTTTTTAAAAATCCGGTTTTATCTAAAATCTGTTTTGCTCACTGATTTTACTTCTCCTCATAACATGAATTAATCCTTCAATTAAGTAATGTGAAGAGTATATACAATGTAAATTTCAGATGCCATATTTTATAGACTTGGCAAACACATAAAAAGATGACAGAAAACAGAAAACATTGTCTCAACTTCAAGTTATACACAGTTTTATCTATAGCAGAACAAACCTATTTGAAAAGTCTTCTACTAAAGAAATATAAAAAGCCAAAGAAAGGTTAGTCCATAGAACTGTGCTATACTAACTTAAAACACAAAACCAAATGCAGTTCATCACTTTCTGAGACACTCTTCATCATTATGTTTTAACCCCACTCTCCCTTCTGTCATTTCCATTGCAAAAGAATATCCTATGGTCTTACCTAGAACATCAAGATCAAGGGTCTGTGCTAGTCTCCTTGTACCATCAGCACCAAAAATATGAGTTTCGTGTTTACACTTTGGACACTGGAAAACACTCATATTTTGGACAAGGCCCAGAACCTAGAACAATAAAAACACTTTAAATTAAACAAAAAACAAAATCTCAACCATTATTTCAACAAGTTTTTACTGAGTGACTGCTAGGTTCTAGTGATACAATGATGAAGATTAAGCTCTGGTCTCTGCTCTTAAGGAATTCACAGGCTAGTGTGAGAGCAAGACACATGATTAATTTTAGTAATATTATACATGCTAAAGAGATAGGAATAATAGGGATCAAAAAAACTCTGTCTAGCATAATAAAAGGAATCTCTGACTTGCCCACAGAAAATTGTTTCTTCAGGTTGAAGGTGAGAAAAGACGTTGAGACCTAGTAGGAATTCTGGGCAGAAGGAAGAGCACAAGCCAAGACAGTGAAATACAGCCATGCGCAGGCTATTGGGACAGCAGCCTAGTGGTTAAGGAAGGCCAGGGTAAGACGGTAACATGCTAAATGCCATCCATGTATTTCAGACTTTCTTCTTAAGACAACAGAAAACCATAAAAGGTTTTTAAAATTGAGAAGATAGTACCCAGAGGGCAGTGTTACACGGTCGGATCTATGTTTTAGCAATTTAGCTATGGTGGATTAATAAGTGGAAAAATATATAATAAAAATTATAATAATAATATGGAAAAATAAGTGGGAAGAAACATGGGAAAAAGTTGAGGCTAACTATGGACAAAACCTCATAGTAAATAACAGCTAAGATACACTGAGTGCTTATGTGCCAGGCACAGGGTAAATGCTTTAAATTTACTATCTTATTTCCTACTCACAGAACTTTTTAAGATGAACACTTTATTAGCCCCATCCTATAGCTGACACAGTTAGCAAAAGACTGAAACTCAACTCTTACCAGAATGCTATCATTTGAAATGAAAGTTTAAATTTAAACAAAAAATACAAAGTGTCCATCTCTTTCTGAGTTTCCCCAGCTTCTGGCACTTCATAACTGTTACTTCATGAAAACTTGTTGAATAAAGAGACAGGCTCTGCAAATGTAATCCTTATTCATGTTCCTTTTAATCCCACTTTCTTATTGATGGGAAAGAGTAGTTCTCTTCTAGAGTAAAAATGGGGAACACAGGATTAGAGGTAACAATGTCCTATCATCCTATCAATTCCACCAATAAGATTATCATTATAGGCGATACCTCCTTTGTAACACTTGTATTTTAAATAAAAAATAGCACTGACAGTCCACAATGAAACATACAGACAAGAAGGTGATCAAATTTGTTATTCTTTCATACTTCAATTAAAGAAAAAAACTGTTATTCTTTCTGGAAAGAAAAACAGAAAAGACTGAAATTTCCCACAATACATGTAAAGAAAGACAAACAGTGAAGGACATAAATTTGTAGCTAAGCATTTTTTCTAAGCATCTAATATATGCCCTGTTGCTGATGCAAAGTATCACAAAAATAAATCATACTATGTTTTGGTAATTCACTACCACTTCTAAAAAGATAGAAGAAAACACAACTTATGTGTTTATTCACTGTGTCTATATAATATACTCATTACTTGGGCAGTTTTACTGCCATTTATGTTAAATGTGATATATGCCCTGACTTAGGGCTTTCAACTTAAACATAAAAATACCACTCAAGAAATGGGAAAAGGAAAAACACTTGAATAATGTGAAAATATGGGTAAGGGTATATTCCAATCTAGACAGAATGGGAAAAGTTTCTACTCTGGAATCTTAGACTCCCCAAGACATAGAGAGGTATGGAGCAAGAGTATATTTTTAGTTTGGGTGATTAACATCTTATTATCAAATTCTTCTCTATGGTCTGTATAAATGTCTCAGCATGGTCTCTATACAGACTACAAAATGTCATAGACATAAAACTGTAATCAAATCCAATATTTAATGAGCCCCTATTATATGCCAGTAACTGGGCGAAACACAAGGAGTAGAATATAGTGGTGAGGAAAACAGACTTGATCCTTGCCCCCTTGGAGTTTGTGTGCTAACTGCAGAAACAGAATGAACATATAATAGTGCAAAAATCTACTTAAAAATTGGTACAGCTTCTCTATAGTATTAAGAGAGTGTAGGCCAGTAAAGACTCTCTCCAGCCTGGGAGTCACAGAGGACTTCTTTGAGGAAGTATTTGACCTAAAAGTGAAACAATAAGCAGATTAAAAACAAGGAGAAAGGGAGGACAACACTCAGGACAGAGCAGGGAAAACACATCTGCAAGGAAATCGAAGGCCAGCACCGCTGAAGTGTGATGTGCGAGGCACAAGGTGGGGCTGAAGTGGTGGGACCTGTGGGCCGTGTTAGGTATCCGGGTCATATAACAGGTGCAAAGAGAAGCTATTGTGGGGTTTTTAAGCATGAGAAACCATTATGCCTATCACTGTAGTTGATGCATTTCTTGGGACTGTAGGGTTTTAAAAACATCGTGGACTGGAAAAAACTAAAAGGAATTGTCCTTATTTTGTGGGTTTTTTTTTAGATGTACCCAAATCCAGGTTCTCTGAAACCAATCATATCAGTAGTGATAGTTTTTAAGACTGTCTAAAATATTTCCAGGTTCTCCCGGACACAAGGTTAGAATTTTTCTTCTCTGCAATTTGTGAGGCCATGTAACTTGTTTTGGGCAAAGAAATGTGAACAGAAGGGACATGTGTCACATCTAGGCAGAAGCTTTACATGCCAATTTCCCATGACCCTTTCCTCTGTCCCTGTGACAGCGAGCTTCCAGAGAGTGACTGCTTCATCAGTTTAGGTGTCAGACTAAGAACAACACAGACAAGTGTTTAAGTCAAGCCATAACGAACATGCAGCATGAGAGAAATAAACTGGTGTTGTTTTAAACCACTGAAATCTGGGGGTTGTTAATACACATAATTCTGCCCATCTTGGCTGACACAGAGGTTGGGGAAGAAAATATTAGAATTTCTATTTCTGCTTTATGATTTCCTTTTCTAATTCCTATTTTATATCTTTTATAGTGAAAATAACCTATCAATACAATAGTATATGTATACTATACATAGATACATATTATATATATATATATATAAAGGATGTATGATCAAAACAATTTGGAGATAACCCTCTAAATGTTTGAAATTCAGGTTTTTGATCACTAAACTTGATTGTTACTGGTAATATGTAACTACTTCTAGTTTAAAGATAAATGCCCAAATATTGCTTCCTAGGTTATTTTGAATAAACTAATCCCACTTAACTCTAGAATTCCCCTATCATAAGAACTTTCTATATGTGTACCTCTTTGCTTAAAAAAAGAGTTGTAATGAAACAGAACAGAGAGCCCAAAACAAATGCATGCATGAAAGGCACTGATTTATAGTGGTGATGACACAGTACTGCATATTTATTGGATATCCACATGGAAACAAGTTGTAACACCTATATCTCACCATTCACAAAAATTAATTCTAGATGGGTTGTAGAGCTAAATGTAAAGTAAAACAAGAACACTTCTAGAAGAAAACAGGAGAATAAACTTATAACCTCAGAGACAAAGATTTTTCAAGCGATGTAAGTTGGCATTAAACATAAATAAAAACTTTTTTATTAAATTGGACTACACTAAAATTAATAACTTATCAGAAGACATAATTAAGAGAGCAAAAAGGAAAGCTACAGAGTGGGAGATGGTACCTATAATATACATCCAGACGAAGGACTTTTACCTGGAATATATAAAGAACTAAAAATCAATTTAAAAAATCAGATAATACAATAGAGAAATGATCAAAAGACTTAACAGGTACTTCATGATATTCAAATATAAGAAAAAAAAGTTCAACTTCATTATCATCAGAGAAATGAAAATTAGAACCACAGTTAAATACCTTACATTTATGCTTAAGACCTGATTCAAATAGATGGATATCTACATGACTACAGTAACAAATGCCATATGTTGGTGAGGACATGAAGCAACTACAACTCAGTTTCAGTTGAGGGCAAATTGGTATAACCATTTTGTAAAACTGTTTACTAATTATCTACTTAAACTGATATATGCTTATACTGTAGCACAGTAATTATACTCAGTTATATATTAACAAAAATGTGAACATAATATTCACCAAGACATGAGCAAAAATATTTGTAAATAGCACTAATTATCACAAAATGTAAAACTACCCAAATGTCTACCAACAGTAAAAGGGACAAGTCAGTGTGGTATATTCACATGATGGAATGCTCCACGGCAATGAGAATGAAAGAGGTAAGCTACAATCAAGAGTAGGAGTGAATCCCTCCAACATAAGTTTAAGCAGAATAAGCCACACAAAAATATATACTTATTCCATTTACATAAAGTTCACAAACAGGTGAAACTAATCTATACTATTAAATATGGGTTCTACTTTGGGGACAGTAACCAGGACATGGCACAAGGCAGGAGCTTCTGCAGTACTGGTAATATTCTGTTTCTTGAATACAATCGGTATGTTTGCTTTGTAAAAATTCATTGAGCTACACTAAGATTTTATGCCCATTTGTGTATGTATACCATACTTCAATAAAATGTTTTCTTTTAAAAAAGGTGGTCATGTAAAGAATGGCCAATAAAGAATTAAAAATAACCAAATGCTTTTTTATTGGGATCTTGTGAACCCACACACGAACCAACTGTTTTAAATAGAAAATATCCTGTAGAAAGAGAGAAGGAGCAGTAAAACTAAGATGAGGTCTTTGGGAGGAACAATAATCTATTCTTCTCACCTGACACTCCAAGGAAAAACTGAAACAAAGTCTAAACCCAGATAAGCTGGGAAATACTGGGGTTCTAAATCTGTAGTATCTAATAATGTAGCCACTAGTCACATGTGGCTACTGAACACTTGAAATGTAGTCTGAATTGAGATGTTCTGTAGGTATAAAGTACACACTGGTTATCGAAGACTCAGTATGAGTAAAAGAACATAAAATCTCTTCTTCTCTTGTTGGATCTTTTATGTCATTTTCAGATTTTGGCTATTATAAAAAACGTGTCTATCAATGTTTTTATATGTGTCT